TGAATGGATAAGCTTATTATATCCGGTATGGATAATCTTCTACCGGGGGTAATGTTTATCCATAACCGGGTACTGAAAAGATAAGCTTATTATACCCGGTATGGACAAACTTCTACTGGGGGCAATGTTTATCCATAACCGGGTACCGAAGTGATAAGTTTCTTCAGGAAGCTTATTTCCAATATAATACTAAATAGATAAATATATTTACGGTGAAGTCCCATATGGATAAGCTTCTTCAGGAAGCTTATTTACAACAGAGTACTAAATGAATATCCATAATATAATATATTTATAACAAATATGAATTAAACTTTTTTTAAAAAGTGGGCATAATTTCAACCGGCGAAATTTTTACCTTTGACTATGGTTGTTGGGCCCGGGCTGTTCGGGCTAATCGTAACTAGTTCTTTTTAAAAAGCAAGGAGCTTTCCCGAAAAAAGACAGAAGTAAATATCTTAAAACTACGTCGTTTCGCTGTAACGAAGGAAAGGCGAAAAATAGAAGGAAAAAAAAAACAGCTGGGTTAATTAACTCGCTGACATGAGCACTACAGCAGTACTCCAAATTTGTTAGAGAGAGATATTTTCCATTTCCAGCGTCAGTGAAATGCGAAAATTGTCCAACGGTTCCAAGCTTCCCCTTCTTCTTGAAAAAATTAGGAGAGATAATTGAAAAAGCTCCTCTTTGATTTCTTTTTCCTTTTCCTGATGGGACGCTATACTTAATTGCATATTAACTATTTGATGAAAAAGGAGTCACAGAATTTACTATTTAGTCTGACAACAGTGTAACTAAAAATGAAACGACGAGGTGATCCAATCAAATTTGTATGCGTTCTAGTGTCTTCTGTTTTTGCTTTCGCTCTGTGTCTTTCAGTACTTAAACTTGACGAAATACCAGTAGGAACTAGTAATGCAATTAATTTATCAGGAGTTAAGAAACTGAAAGTCAATCCAACAGCAGCAGGAGGAATTGGGAAGTTGGGCGAAGTGGTGATCGGAATGCTGCCTCAAGATTTGGGGTTCACTTTATTTTTGCCATCTGAAAAAGCATTCGAGCGGGACCTGGGTTTGGGCCCCAATGATTTGGTGAGCGAGAATGGGAACGATACATATGCAATACTAACTCGAGTAATGGGGTTTTCAGCTGTGCCGAGGGCGATTAACTCGGATGATGTACAGTTGGGGAAGGAGATTGATTATGATTCTATATCGGGATATATACTCTATATATCGAAAGATTCAGATGGGTCATTGATAGTGAATCGAATTGCTTCTGAAATGGTGGATCTGAGAAGAGGGAAGATAGTTGTACATGTTATGGATGGGGTGATAATGGATTCAGAATTTGAGCACTCTGTACGACCTGGTTCCCAGGAGGATAATTGAGCTCAGTTTCGTGAATTGATGATTACCCCATTTTCGCTGGGGAAAAAATTGTGAAGCTTTTACTGAGTAACGATTGATACACTGAGATGGCTCAGGTGGATCTATAAAGAGGAAAACTTTGTTGAATGTGCTGTCTCTGACTTTATTAAACAATATTGGGCTTTGTGTAATTTTTTTTGTTGATTTTGGACTTTTTCAAGCTGATGTTTTGCTACTGCTTGTTTTTTACAGTAATTTAGCCTGTTATTATTGTTACATTATAATATTATTGTAAAAAAAAAAAAAGTTATAGCTGTTACACTGTACTTTATTTATCGTCTTATTGGAAAAAAAAATTTGTTATTCAGAAAATCTTCTCCACTTGAAATCACTGGGAAGTTTAATGGGCGGAACGAATATGTCGAAATTGTGGTAAGCCAGCAAATTTCTATTAGCATTGATCTGGAATCTCTTTTTGGTAAGCCCAATAAGGTGGGACAATGTGCGAAGAACTTTAAGTGCATAATCACTGGTAATCTAATTATTAGGAGTCATGACTCAAATGATGCACCCAAGCTATTTGATGAATTGCTCGAATCAGATGCAACACATGTTTCATGTTTGTTTCTACAGGTTAGTAACTTACTATCATATGGCCCTGAAGAGAAAAATGATGAAACTATTGTCGCTTTTGGTCCAGGAGGTAATACATTTACTATGTTTGATGTTAGCTATATGAAGCTTGATGAGTCTAGTTTCCTCTCGATATTGGGTGTTTGCTCACAATTACGAATACTAAGTTGTACTGCACGGATAAAGTTCGACTGGCTGAATCAATTGAAGGAGCTACATAATGGAGTCAAAATTAAAGTTGATACCTCAGTTCCTTTGTTTATGTATTCTCTGGATTATGCCGAAATACAATTGGCTAATTGTGCTAAGACTACAAACAAGTGGATTGTGAGGCGACTTAATGGGATTGTTGGTGTTTACTGGAGAAACATCATATCTGAGGTTGGTAATTTACGAGCTAATTTCTTAGCCAACTTTTTGCCAGGATGGAGTATCACTGTTGGTGTTGGTTTGAACTCTTACTCAAATAATATAGTGCATAAAAGTCTAGGCATCTATTCAAGAGTAGCAATGAAGTATAAGAATTCATTGAGTTCATTTACCATAATAATTGATAGGGAAAACTCTAACTCACTTTATCAGGGTGTTAGAGCCAATGTTCTATGTGTTGTTTTTGGATTTATTGAGGTGGTTCTTGTGGACAAGAGAGTGGTTGCGACATACTGGCCAGATGTTCTTAAATCCAACAATAAAACTAACTTGCATTGGGAGAAATGGATTGTGCTGAAACAACTTCATTCACTACAGTTTGTTTCCATTCTTAGTTGCACAATGCTCAGAGTCATCACTTGGTTGGATAATCTACTGCTAATTACATACCTGAACACTTGGGCAATGAATTACGAGCCAAGAGAGATAACTGTTGTTGACAATTTACTACGCAATGATAAATTTCATTATATACTTGGTGCCTTGAACATTCTTGGTAATGAGTTTCAGCACATACTTAGGGCCTTGAAACCACCTGGACTGCCCGAAGGTATTGAAAGTGCAAACCAACCAGCAATTGTTAAAGGTTGTGGAGAGATGTTTCCTCTGTTGAAGAATTCAAGAAAGGGATTCAACTTTTTTTTTTCATAAATGCTGAAGTTGTATTGCATGCACTGACAATAACACTTACTGTAGTTGTTGGAAGTTCAAGTGCCAGCTACTTAGCAGGTCTGGTTATCACAAGTGGAACTACCAGTTGTGAAGGTTGGGGTACTAGCAGTTTACAAGGCTATTCAGTGTTACTGTTGTTCTTGCCCATTAAGAGGAGTTATTTTGGAAGGAAACATTTCCATGGTATTAATTCGGTTGCTGCAATCGATTATCTTTATCATGGCTTAACTCCAGTAGTTCACTACCATTTCAGACCTAGCAATAATGATATGCAAAGTACTCCAAATGAGAGCAAAGTCTTAAGGAAATCTCTTCAGTTTATGATCACTAGCAACTTCTGCCAACATGGTTCAATAAAGACCTTGAGGACAAGGTCAATTTCAAGCGGGAAGGATTGTTATGATCTGGCATTTTTTATCAAGGAGGTCACGTGATGGGCTTGTTCTCACGTGTGTCAATCAAATCTTATTTCACCGAGGTGGGAACTTCCCCATATATAGATACAAGCAAATGTTGAATGGGGGATATTCAGAATTATATTCCATTTTCGAAGCTTCTGCTTCTCACTTCTCTCTCTCTCTCTCTCTCTCTCTCTCTCTCTCTCTCTTCACTCCCTTCTCGTCTCATCTCTTCTCCTTCCTCTGCTCTCTTCTTCCTTCTTTGCTTGTCTTCTCCTCAATCGTTTGGTTATGGATTTGTAGCTTAACAATATCCTTTTCTATTTCGCAATTTTAATTCGAGTTGGAAGTGTTGAATTAATAAAAATTCTCACCTTTTCTATTACATTCTTGCTAATTCTATCTTTACTTCTTGAGTACATTACAGCCCAATAAGGCGGGACAATGCGCGAAGAACTTTGAGTGCATAATCACTGGTAAACTAATTATTAGGAGTCATGACTCAAATGATGCACCCAAGCTATTTGATGAATTGCTCGAATCAGATGCAACACATGTTTCATGTTTGTTTCTACAGGTTAGTAACTTACTATCATATGGCCCTGAAGAGAAAAATGATGAAACTATTGTCGCTTTTGATCCAGGAGGTAATACATTTACTATGTTTGATGTTAGCTATATGAAGCTTGATGAGTCTAGTTTCCTCTCGATATTGGGTGTTTGCTCACAATTACGAATACTAAGTTGTACTGCACGGATAACGTTCGACTGGCTGAATCAATTGAAGGAGCTACATAATGGAGTCAAAATTAAAGTTGATACCTCAGTTCCTTTGTTTTTGTATTCTCTGGATTATGCCGAAATACAATTGGCTAATTGTGCTAAGACTACAAACAAGTGGATTGTGGGATTGTTGGTGTTTACTGGAGAAACATACTATTCAAGTTATATAATTGTTATTAGGGTTATACAAAGGAAACCGACAAACCGCACCAAACTGATAATTCGAGTCAAATAAAAAAAAAAACCGACTATGATTTGGTGTCAAAAAACCCCCGATCATAAATGGTTTGGTTTGATTTTAACTAAAAAAAGTTAAACCGAAACCAAACCAACCCGACATTACATGTATACAAGTTTTACTATTATTTTTTACATAAAAATAATAAGTAATGTAATTTATAATATTTTTTATACTTTTTCATACTTTTCTCTTTTAATGTATTATTTCAAGCTTAGACTTAATACTTTTGAATGATTAAATATGTTTTATAGCTCATAAAAGTTAGTAACTCAAATAAAGCCCAAAGCAAAATCAAATCAATACTAATGCTAACAAAAAAAATTCAATCAATACTAGGAATGGCAATAGTATTAGATATTTACTTTTTTAGATCTGCATTAGTTTAGATAGTGAAAATGCATAACTTACTTTTAATATTATTTAGTCATGTAATTAATACTTAGTACTTATTCGTCGTACTTATTTTAGGATGACTTAGTACTTTTAGATGATGTTTATTTTTATTATGGCTTATTAATTAGCAATATTTATTTTATGTTATTGTTGAGTCTTTTAGTATAATCATGACTCATCTCACATCATTTTATATTATTTTATTGGGTAACATCTTATATAGTTTTATCCTGCTAAGACCTAAGAAATATGTGCTATGAAGATTTTGTCGGAAAAAAAAAACCGAAAACCCCGAAACAAACGAAAAACTCGGGAAAAACTGAGATTGAAAAACTCGACTTTTATTGGCTCGCTAGTTCATGCAAATCCGAAGAAGTTATCACGAACGAGCCACATGCAGGGAAACTTGCACGTTGGTTTGGTTTCAAAGGTTGATTAGGAAATGGGAATTGTTAAATTTACTTGTTTTCATATGATCAAGTAGAAAAGTTTCAGTCTTTGGCACAATTTTGGAAACTCAAATCTTAATGTTGCTATAAATTAAACGTTTCATACATTTATTCCTGGTAGATGCTATGATACTGTGTAGAAAAATAGTTGGGTCTGCAGAGTTATTCGGTAGTTGCGCTGGTGGGAGGTAGCAGATATCCGGTGGAATAGTCGCCCGACACCACCATCATTAAAAACAAAGAAGGAAGTAGTTGGGTGTGGCTATATGTATTTCTCTTTATTTATTCCGCACTATTTGGATTTATTTCATTCCAATACTGTGCAGAGGAGTAATGTAAGGAAGTCAGAGATTTTGGGTGTGAGATGTTGGTTCAGAATAGGAAAGATTTTGATTTATCTCGTTTTTTGGTTTTTAGATAATGAGTCGGTTGATCATTACTTGGTAATACAATGTGGAACTTGACAAATTATGGGTGTTCTTGTTTGGAAGACTGATTTAACCGAATTGGGTCTTTGGAATTAACTTAGTAGTTACATTATAACGGAAGAATTGGTATCGAGAAAGATAGCATTGTCCGAAGTCCGTATTTTCAACTGTGAATATGATTTGGTGAATGACCCAAAAGAGAAGGTCAGGAGGAAATTTATTTACCCTTTTCTTTAGAGTTACTAGTTGCTAGATTCTTGAGGTAATTGAAGAGGGAACTTATTTTGGCTGCTAGGTTACAAAACCCAGTATACTACTTGCCAAGGGCTGCCTTATAAGAATCATATGCTATCTGTACGTTTTGTACGTTATACTCATCTGTTTGGATAGTTAATCTTGGAGAAGGAAGATGCCTTGTCTTAATATGGGTGTGAATGTAGTCTAAGAGCCAACATATCCATAAGACGTACATAAAGATGTGAACATTAAGATAGATGTGCACTAATACAAGATTCGATAAGATAACAAATTATCACATCAAATAAAGTATGCAAGTAGCACACATATAGGATGAAATTGAGAGGTTGTGCAAATGTTTTGTTAATTCTTATGTAGGTCTCCGAATTTACAGTCCGTAAGTGTGACACTATGGTGATTGATGTTTTTAAAAAAGGATAGGTAGATCCAAAATCATATGGAGGCAAGGTGCGTGGAAAGACCTAGAATCTCTTAGAACCAATGAAGATTTATCTAACAACTGAAAAAATCGGAGTAAAGGATCCATATGTGTGATACTAAGAAAACTAGTTGGCAATTAGGTCTTAGCTATTGTTCGTTACACTGACATTAAGTCTGAATATGGATAAATATTGGAATGAAATGGGTTCGAAGCGAAATTGATATAGAGGATTCATATAACCAACCCCAACTAGTTTGCGATCGAGGCATAGTTGTTTGTTGTTCTCTTGAAAAAGCTCCATTCCAGGAGATGAGGAATCAATAATATATGCTTTTTTGGAAAAGTTGTTTGGTCCATTATTCATAGGTTTCGTTGGATATCATGTTCTGTGTAAGGTTTGGGATCTTCATGAGTTTGTTCCACTGGATGTTTAAACTTTTTACTCACTAACCATGATCATGGTGGGAGGACGACGTGATACTATTCTCACTTTTGCATGTATGAAATTAGTTACTACCATGTGCTTTCCTCTTCCTTCATGATCTTTTAAATGTCTGTTTCAGCTTGAGGTTGAGTTTAAGAAATGCTAATTTACAAGCAAAGGCAAACATGAGGAAAGCTGCCCAAGAAGAGGTACTTTGTATATTTGTGTAGAGATTCTGTTTAGCATGCCAGAATTATTAACTTCCGAAACATCCTGCAATTTATCCTTCTTTTTGACTGATCCTCACAAAAGATATGGTTCTTTCATCTTTGTTGGTACGATGTCAAAACACATGGAAATTTATTACTTGCAATTTCTCCTCTTTTGGCCCTGATACTTACAAAAGATGTCATGCTGACATCTGCCTTCATATGATGTCAGAGGGAGCTTCTATTGGGAGGTGGAGAATAATCTACAGTTCGCAGGCGAAATCTACAGTATGTGGTACTTTTTAAGTCGTTATACTTCCGTGGTTATATCTTCTATAAAAGTTCATGCGGCTGTGGTTTTGTGGGGCAGAAGTATCAAAACATTTCTTTCTATTGAACTGAGGTTCTATATATCTAAACTATTAATGTATTTTCTAGGACAAAAGCTGGAATGACATCTGCAGCTGAAAGTATTACGGAGAGCCTACGCCGCACTCGCCAACTTATGGTTCAGGTTATTGTCATCTTTCTTCTATTTTCATCTGCTTGGTTTTACGCCCTATTTTCTTATTACTCATGTAATTATATTTTGACCTTTATATGTTGCATAACACTGCTTGTCTCTTGTCATTTTGTACTATGTTTACAGGAGGTTGAAAGAAGTGCAAGCACTCTAATGACAGTTGGTAAGTAACTTTCCATGTTTATGAATGACATTCACTCTTGGCATGATATGTCTTTAATCTTTATTATCAGTTTACTTTATGTTGCTTCATTCAGATGGCGTTGTTCTATTCTTCCCTAGTTCTTTTGTTATTTATTGAGTCGTTATTCATAAAAAGATTTTGATTGCACGATGAATGTTTAAGAAAAAGTTCATATTGAGATGAAAGGTTTTTTCTCCTTCCCTTTTTCCTTTTTTTCTTTTGAAGGGGATATAAGATAGTATTTCTTTAAGGATGGTGATATATCGACAGAAGCATCAAAGAACTGCAGTTTTGCTTGCCATGCAACAAAAATAACGGGGCCTCTTTCTGCACATAATATTAGGAAGTGTGGCAAACATTCTATAGGATGAATAAGTTTGTAATTGCAGCGAAAACAAATTGGGTTTGACAAGTATCCTGCTTGCTTCTGAATAGATTCTACTTTTTTTTTTTTTTTTTTTTTTTTTTTTTTTTTTTAANTTTTTTTTTTTTTTTTTTGTTTTTTTTTTTTGTTGAAAAGGTAACATATGAATAGATTCTACTTCTGTTACTTTTGATTATGCTTCTGAAGTAATGTGGAAAATAAACGTCATAAACCTCAATTTCAGATATATGCCATTTTTGTTGGTTAATCAAGCTCAACTTAGAGCTAGGTCTTGTTTTATTATTTGACTGATCACCCAGGTTATGTACTAGGTTAACTGCACTTAAATATGTTTACCTCACTGTAAAAGTAGCCTTATAAATAAACACCATCTGCGGCGTAAAAGCTTAATGGGTGTAAGGAAAAAGGTAACAAGAACTTGACCAGAAAATACATTGATGTTATTCACTACATGGCTCAATGGATCTGACTCATCCAATGTGGTATGCTGTACATGAATCGGTTTGGTTTCTTTGATGAGGCGTGTTCAAGAGATACACCTCTTGAAAGATGATGACAACAACATGGTTACTTTTATAATATCTGCATTTACTATCTAATGTGATGAGTCTGGTGACTGGCTCTATGACTTTTGGACCGTATTCTTCATATCCTGAATGTGGAATGTAAGTTGAGACTAGATGACAATGTACACGGTCTGGATACTGCAGATGAATCAACAGGGGTATTAACGAAAGCTGAGAGTGAATACAAAGGCCACCGCTCCTTGCTAACACGAACGCGGAACCTTCTGTCCACAATGCAACGGCAGGACGTTCTGGACAGGTATCATGTGACAATGACTTTTCTAAAATAACATAAACCTTTCTTTGCAATTCTACTGTCAATTCTGTTGTATCGTACTTTCTTCCTGCTTGTTAGTATGTTGTTTAAAAGTGTATTTGACCTTTATTGCAACCTTAACACAAATCTGTGAGCAGGGTGATACTGGTTGTAGGATTTACTATTTTCTCCTTGGCCGTTTTTTATGTGGTGTCAAAGCGTATTGGCCTGCTCAAGTTGCAGCGTAAGCTAATTGAAGCTGTGAAGGCTGGTACAGCTGGACAGGTGGAGATAGTACCCAGAGTCGGTAGAGAAGGTGCAAATGTTGCCCAGGTTCAGATGAATCCTGTACCCGAGTTAAATGTACCCTTAGAACAAGCAATGCATGATGAACTTTGAATTCCCTTTAGTTGTGTACATTTTCTGTGGTACATGCAAGTTTCACCTATGGAGCTCCATATCTTGGTACAGCATTACAATAACATAGTTTTGTGTTCTTTTGTTTTTCTATTATTCACAGCTTGCCTTGGTCCCTTCATCTTTGGTCTTTACTCCATTGGTTATATGTTTTTGATATTGGTATTGTAGACACAGATAAACAGTATATGCCCAGTAATCTTTCAGAGAATGCATGTACAATCTTGTTGTGTTCTTGCACTTGGGCATATCATATAGTGGCGGAGGCAGGATTTCTGCTAAAGGGACTGAGAAAAGAAAAAAATTGAAAAAGAGGAGCAACCTCACGAAGGTTTTGAAGCCCCTTGACCATTGAGCTACGCTTTTAGGTTGTGTTAGGGGGATTCAACATATGAACATATAATATATAGAAACACAAAACGGACTTTGCCTTATATGCACATTGTAATTTTCCGGCGAAGGAGATTCTGTTGAACCCCCTTCCGCCCCCCTAAATCCGCCCCTAATAGCATAAGCCTTCCCAATGACTAAAGCAGAATGAAATACATCTATTTCCTATTTCAACCACAAAATTGACTTAGCAATACTCTTTGTAGATAACCAAATAAAATTGAGAAGGATGTAGAGTTCGAGCCATTTACAAGTGGAAAAAGGAAAATGAAGAAACTATTTTATGCATGTATAATTAAGATTATGCTAAGAGCCAGAAATTTCTATGAGTTTTGGTGTTAAGATTATGCTTTGAACTGCAACACAGGTGCATTTCCTGGTCTCAATCAAATATTCTGCCATATCCAGACCCAGCCCTCTTAGCGACACACTTCGTCTAGGCCTGGCCNGTGGGGGGAGTTGTTAGATGCACGAATTCCCAAGGACAATTGGTGCAGGGTTTGAAACTCGGTGAGTAATGAGCTTGCTCCTCTACCCATTCTCTACCCATTCTCCACTTAAATAGCGCACGTGTCATGGTTAGAACTCGTAATATGCGCCTAACCACACATCATGCGCTACGCTCTTACCACTTGACCATAGCTCGGGGGTAAGCCATTACTTTATTACTTAAGAATTACCATATTTTTATAGTTCTTTTAATTCTCATTTTGAATTAGATAATGTGAAAGGAATACAAACTGACCGAAGTATTACGTTAGAAAGACTTCTTCTTTGACCTATAACAAGAACATCAATACCAAGAGATGCACCTTTAGCAAGAATGATAGAAGCCTTTTCCTTGGCATTGCCGTCCATTTCCACCGTCTCCGTACAAACCTTTATCTTAGGTTGTGCAACCTCATGCCTGTTTCATTGTCCCAAGAAAATTCATGTATCTCTTTCCTCCACATCCTCTTACACCACCGTCTTCCGCCACGTTGGAGGGCGTGGACGACGGCGGTGATGCAGAGGATGCTAGAGATTTCTTAAAGAAAGCACCTAACGAATTATTGTGTATGCCTCTTCCTTCTTCGGATTGAGAGGATAAAGAGGTCGTGGACGAGGACGTAGCTGAGTTTTGTAATGGCTTCTTGATAAAAGAACCAAGGAGATTACTCCATGCATTAGGGTTACCAACATGCAAAAGAATCAACGTGTCATTTTCCGCGACAGCATGGGAGAGCGCATATTGAAGAACGGCTGCTGATTCACGAGTTGGATCGGGTACCACCATTACTTTTCATGTTGAGTTCTTCCCATCTGCCATAATATGGTCTCTGGCCATTAGTTACTTACCACCACAACCGCGAACCGCCCCCCTCCACCACCACCCCCAACACCAACGTTGGTTCTCTCCTAATGATAAAACCAGGGCTTGTGGGAATGGTAGAACGGTAGACAAGGAAGAAAACAATAATATGAGGCTGTCATCTTTTTAGGCTTCTCCTATATATATGATACCCATGTATATCTGTTAAAAGGGTAGTTTCCTATACAAAAAAAAAAATTGTGATTCCTAAACTTAATGCCATTCTTACTGTTTGCAAAAGCCATTAGAAAGACCAAATGAATGTCGACCTCTCGTGTTGAAAGGGTAACAAACTTTTGACCTTCTACGTTCTCCATATATAAATTAATACACTTTTTTGACTACCGAATATAAATAGTTTCTGGTGCGAGCTAAAAGTGACATATCCCAATTTTGTTTGCATCTCTTTATTTCTTAGAAGCAAATTGGGTTCTCAAGATTCTTTTATGCTCATGCATCTAGTATCCGAAATTCATCGGCCAGCTTATATCAGCACTCATATAATAGCTAGGGGCAAGAAGCAGGGACTGTAAATTCGTTATATAACAGAACAAGACTTTCAAACAGTGCCAGCGTAGAAACTGCAAACCTTAACTTTAGCTTCTCAATCTCATCAAGCACATTTAAAGTAAAAAAAATATCTGCGAACAATAGCTTCATCAACAGGAATATGGAAATAACATTGAATCCTTAAAAAAACTGCATACTTTAATTACACTTGAAGGAAGAAAGTAAGCAGCTACAATTGTAATCACTGAATCACATCGTATGGAACATGAGCAATATGATAAGAGAGTGAAGCAAAGGTCAGGAAAAGAAAGAACTAAACAGAGCTCGCACGTGACAGATAACAGCCAACATCAGCTCGTGGCATTTAATTTTTCCAAGAGGATTTTGTTCAAAAGTTTTGGATTTGCTTTGCCTTTCGATTCCTTCATCACCTAGTGATCACCAATGTGAAAAAAATATTAGTCAGCTTGACGTCGAAACAAGAAACTTCAAGGAGAACTAAAGGAAAACATACCTGGCCAGCAAAAAAACCTTGCAATTTAGTTTTACCACCACGGTATTGTTCTTGCTGCTTTGGATTATATGCAATCACCTTATCTACCATTTTCTCTATCTCCGCAGTGTCAATAATCTGTTTTTTTCCAAAAAAAAAATGGAAACTTAGCTAGCGTTTGGCCATAGATTCCCAAATTTGTTTTGAAAAATCCGATTTGGGTGAAGTTTGGTTTGAAGATGAAAATATGTTTTGGACATACGTTTTCAATAACATATTTCCCAAATTTATTTTGGAAAAACATGTATATTATTATACATGTTTTGTGATTTTGGTCCAAAACCAGCTATTGAGCTGGTTTTGGGATTTGGAATTTTGCCAAAATATAGGCAAAATTTATAGCCAAACATGCGTATGCCAAATAAAACCCAAATTTATTTTGGGAAAATCTATGGCCAAACGGGTCCTTACATTAGATTCCTTTCAACGTACATTCTTCAGTTACTTAACTGGTTTCCAATTGCCAGTCATGTAAATCGACAAGAACAAACACTTCTTTAGATCAAATGACTTCAAAAACATATCACAAGGACAGTCAGTCTGAATTATAGATAGTTCACTTCAGTCAAGATTTATTTCCAGACAAGATAGCTCATGGTAGAAATCCCTATTCTAGGTAGTGTAATCGAAAAACATGCACACACAGCTTGACACACTTCAGAAGATAATTTCGGCAATTATCTATGCTATTTAAAGTAGATTTTCCGCAAAGTTCTTACACTCAAGCTAGCAGAGTTGTACTGAGGCTTTTACAAAGCTGGGATAATAATAATTTAGTCATTAGGTTTTTAAAGCTTATACCATAATAATACCTAAATTTTCATCTCAACTTGTTATAAATAGGGTTTTGTTATGCAAATCGTGAAGCCTTGGAAGTAACATTAAGCATCAACCTAGTTAACATAATCTTCTAGCAATCTGGAGTTGGCTGGATGTCTATTTGAGGTGTATATTCCTCCTCAAGTATCTTTAGTCGTAGTTGTTTCGTGATCAGCTTTCTCATTTTAATCAAAGGATCTCTAAACGACTACAAGTCAGGTAATATGGCCTATGATGAGGATAACTAGACGTAATAAATGATGAAATGTGATAATTATATGGTTTAGAAATTTAAAAGAATCCATTTTTATAGATAATTTAACAGCTCTTCAATGAAACAACAAAAACATTTGTATGTGATAAATGGACATTGGGCCTAACTCAACCACAAAAGCTAGTTTATAAGGTGAGGGTTGCCCAAGACCATATTGTTGAATATGTCAATATACCACATCGGTTGGGAAGTAAATTGGGTTGGTACTTCACCCTATAAAAGAAGGCCTAATGTTTAGGATTTAAACATACCTCTCATTTGCCTTCTTATCTTCTTAAGGCATTTGTATTTTCTCTCTTTAGTATTATTTCACTTGTATTTTTGGAGTGAAATAAAATATTGGTTGTGTCCGAGGAAGTAGGCAAAATTGGCCGAACCTCGTAAATTCTGGTATTTCTTTTATTGTTGCTTTATTGTCTTGTTTATTATTTAGTGGCTGCCATAATTTTGGTATAGTAGTTGTGACTTATTCACATATATACATTTGGCTTACGCAACAATTGATATCAGAGCCAAGATATTGTCTAAGTATGCTCTGTGGTTACAGCATAGTCTGATCTTCCACATCAGAAAAAGATTTATCTTGGTAACTGAGTCAAGGTTCTGTCTGAGTATGCTATGTGGTTGCAGCTTAGTCTGATCTTCCACACCAGAAAAGAAATAATCTTGATTTGTGTCGTCAGCTATTAAATAATATTTATGTCAAAGATGAGAGACAATAAACAAGAATAATCTACATCAAGTGTCAACAATACGTCATCATTGGCATCTTCGCTTATGTCAAGAATTGTGTCAAATGCGAAATTTGCGGTAGAAATTTTTGACGGGTCAGGACATTTTGGGATATGGCAAGAAAAGGTTCTAGATGTCCTTTTTGAACAAGGGTTAGATCTCGCTATTGAAGAAAAGAGACCAGATGTTATTGGAGAAGAAGATTGGAGAATTATCAACCGTGTTGCTTGCGGTACCATTCGATCCTACCTTACTAGAGAGCAGAAATATCCATACACAAAGGAAACTTCTGCAAGTAAATTATGGAAAGCACTGGAGGATAAATTTTTGAAGAAAAACAGTCAAAATAAATTGTACATGAAGAAGAGACTGTTTCGCTTCACCTATGTTCTTAGTACCACGATGAATGAACAAATCACCAGTTTCAATAAGTTGGTCACAGATATGCAAAATATGGATGCAACTTTTGATGATGGTGATTTGGCCCTGATGTTGTTGGGGTCACTTCCTGATGAGTACGAGCACCTTGAAACTACTCTACTCCATGGGAATGACGAAATTTCTCTCAGAGAAGTTTGTTCGGCTTTGTATAGCTATGAACAAAGAAATGGAGAAAAGCAGAAGGGCGGAGAAGGAGAAGCACTGGTTGTGAGGGGTCGTCCTCAAAATCAAACGAGGACAAAGAAGGAAAGATCCAAGTCAAGATCTAGACCCAGCAAAGATGAATGTGCCTTTTGTCGAGAAAAAGGGCACTGGAAGAAAGACTGTCCGAAGTTGAAGAATAAGGCCAAACATAACAATGGAAAGGCCATTATGGATTCAAATGTAGCTGATTGTGATGATTCAAACTTCTCATTAGTTACAACAGAGCCATCAACATCATCAGACATATGGTTGATGGACTCGGCTTGTAGCTATCATATGTGTCCCATAGGGACTGGTTCGTGGATTTTCAAGAAGGAGAATACGGAGTCATCCACACAGCGGATAACAACCCTCCTACCTCATATGGANTATGCTCCGGTGCACTAGTGGTAATGAAGGCTAATCGGAAGAACAATAACATGTACCGTTATCGTAGTAGTACATTGGGACAACAACAGTAACATCCTGTGACAAAAAAGAGGCAGAAGCAACCAAGCTATGACACATGCGCTTGGGACATGCTGGAGGAAAAACCTTGAAAACTCTATCAGATCAAGGATTGTTAAAAGGAGTAAAGACTTGCAACTTGGAGTTTTGCGAGCATTGTGTCAAAGGGAAACAGACAAGGGTGAAATTTGGTACAACGATCCATAATACTAAAGGCATATTGGATTATGTACACTCTGATGTTTGGGGTCCTTCCAAAACACCTTCATTGGGTGGGAAACACTATTTTGTAACCTTTGTTGATGATTTTTCCCAAAGAGTGTGGATGTATAAAAATGAAGAGCAAAGATGAAGTATTGGGAATTTTTCTCAAATGGAAAATGACGGCGGAGAATCAAACAGGCAGGAGGATCAAGTGTATTCGTACAGACAATGGAGGTGAATACAAAAATGATCATTTTAATAAGGTCTGTGAAAATGATGGCATCGTCCGACACTTCACTGTCAGACATACACCACAACCGAATAGAGTGGCAGAACGTATGAACCAGACCTTGCTGGAGAAGGTACGGTGTATGTTGTCCAATGCTG